GCACTGTATTAATATTCATGCACCAAAGAGGCTTATAAACTTGGAACCACTTTTTGCACCAGAAAGGATCTTATGGGTCAAAGAACATGCCACTTTTACCAGAGAAACCTGACATAGTTATATGGTGGTTTGAATGAGAATAGCCTCCACAGGCTTATATGTTTGAATGTTTAGTAATCAGGGAGTGGAAGTATTTGAGAAGGATTAGAAGGTGTGGCCTTGTTGGAGTGGATATGGCCTTGTGAAGGAGGTGTGTCACTATGGGTGAACTTTGAGGTTTAAAAAGCCTGGTTTCAGGATGCAAAGCTCTCAGCTACAGTAACCATGCCTGTCTGCTTCCAACCAAGATGATCATGGTTCCTTGGACATGGTATGGTGTCTCTTCACAGCAATAGAACAGGAACTAAGACAGTTATGCAGTATTTCCCAAAAGGTGCCATGGAAGCAGTCGGTTGCAAATTGCCCTTTTATTCCATTCTTCCTTTCATCTCCTATCACACACTAGGCCAATTTAAACATTCACAGTAAAGTACTGGCACAGAGACAGAAACCTAAATCAATGAATGTGGTGGAAAAATTGACTTGAATATATATGGTTAACCGGTTTTCAACAAAGGGGAAAGTCTTTTCAAAAAAAGTGGTAGATCAATTTTACATTCATAAGCAGAGAAATGAAACTTGATCCACCTCACAGCACATATAAAAATGAGCTCTAAATTGTTCTTAGTGTTAAATGTAAGAGATAAAATAGAAAAGCTCCAAGGGGGAAGAAACAGCAAAAAATTTTTGTGACCTTGGATTATGTAAAGATTCTTAAACAGAAGACAAGTTTCAAAAAGTATTAATTAGAAATACCGTTAAGAACAACATCTGGGCTGGGCGGTGGTGCACGCCTTTAATCCCAGCACTCGGGAGGCAGAGCCAGGTGGATCTCTGTGAGTTCGAGGCCAGCCTGGGCTACCAAGTGAGTCCCAGGAAAGGCGCAAAGCTACACAGAGAAACCCTGTCTCGAAAAACCAAAAAAAAAAAAAACAAATCTGGAAAACATTGTTGAAAGACAGATGTGTAATAGTTCAAGACCATCCTTGGATATAAAGCTGGTTCACAGCCCCTTTGGATTACATGAGACCCTGTCTCGAGAAATAAGAGGGAGAAAAGAGAGCAGCTAGAGAAGAGGACTGTAGGGAGAAGCAGGTAGAGAGGGGAGGTAGGAAAGAGGACGGAGGGAAGGAGAGAGGAGGGAAGGAGAGAGGGGAGAGAGGAGGGAGAGGAGGGAGGGGTGCAGGGACAGGTCAGGAGAGGAGGAGAGGGAGGGAGGACTTAAGCAGACAGTACCAGGCATGGTGACAATGCACCTGTAATCTCAGCATTTGGAAGGAGGGAGTTCCTGATCTAGATAAGGGGGACACTGTCTTAAAACACCAAAACCAAAATTAAAAAGTACAGGGGGAAAAAAACACAAGACAAACGGGAAAATATGTATTAAAAAACCTATTTGACTTTAATAGCAGTACTCGGGAGGCAGAGGCAGGTGGAACTCAGTGAATCTGAGGCCAGTTTGATACACATATTAAGTTGCAGGCCAGCCACAGCTACATAGCAAGACCCTGTCTCAAAAAATAAAATACAATAAATTGTTTAATCTATTTGGTTAAGGAATTGTACCAAATAGACAGATACACATGCATATATGTAAAAATGTATAGATAAAATATTTAAAAGGTAATCTTCACATTTAACCAATGTACATGGATGTAAAGGAAAACAAAATGATATTTAGTATCCTTAGCCATTAGAGAAATACAAACTGAAACAATATACTTCTCTACCCCTTCTTCCAAAATGGCTAAATTTAGAGCTGAAGAGATGGTTCAGCAGTTAAGAGCATTTGTTGCTTTTGCAGAAAACCTAGATTTCATTCCCAGCACCTACACAGTGATTCACAACTACGCTTCACTCCAGTTCTATGTACTACTCTCTTCTGACCTCCACAGGCACCAGGCACAAATTTGGTACACACACACACACACACACACAATTCATGGGCATAAAATAAATCTTTTTTTTTAAGGCTAAAATTAGGAAGAGTAACTTAGGCAGATACCAAAAGGAGCTGAAGGCCACACACCAAGTGGGACTGTGGTACGGTGCAATCATAATGAACAAAGCTGAACACATTATACAACCTAGCCATCTTACCTATTTACCCAAAAAGCGAGGACTTGTGTCTACCAATACTAATTAACAATAAAACCCACCTTGTTTTTTCCGAGGCGTATGTGAATTTTCACTATTTATAGCGTCTTTGTAAACTCTCACCAATGCTTTAAAAGGAAGTTTGGATGAAATTGTGTGTTTTGGCTTTCTGTGTATTTTCTCTATGTACCTCAAGCTGGCCTTAATCACGGTCCCCTGATGCCTCTGGCTCCCATAGATTGAGATGACAGGTAACCAGTTCAGAAAAGCATCTTTGAAAACACAAACAAACTCACACTTATTGTATCTGGGGTAAGGGATGAGTCACATTCCATGTGTGAAGGTCAGAGGACAACTTTGGGAGTCAATTCTCTCCTGCTGTGCCCGTTCCTGGAATCTAACTCAGGATGTCAAGTACCTTTACTCCCCCAGCCATCTTGCTGGCTCAATTTTGTTTTGATTGTTGTTTTTATTTCAGTGATGGCTTTGAACACCTGCTCCTCCCCACTTTACCTTGAAAGTGCTGGGATTATAGGTGTTCTCCAAATAACCAGCTAATTTTGTTTAAAGTGCTAATATAAAGTATGCATCATACTTAAATTACTTAAAGCTAAACATGGTGGTACACACCAGTAATCCCAGAATTTAGGAGACTATAGGAGGAGGATCAAGAGTTTGAGGTCAGTCTGGGCTACAGAGCAACACTCTGTCTCAAAGTCTACCTCTCCTCCTCTGATTATACACATAGATTGTTTGAGATAAAAAGCTTCCTCCATGTGCACTGGTATATTTGAGAATTTGTGACTCAGGCTTCCTAATGATCAGTGGAGTCTTACTCTTCAATTTAGCTGCACCTAACACAAACTTCATTTCCATTCGTTAGTCTAAGTAGGAAGAGAATAAGAATATGTCTTTTTTCTTTAATGTTATTCCATTTTACTTATTTGTTGTGGGGGAAGGGCAACTTTCAGGAGTCAGTTCTCTCTTTGCAACATGTGAGGTCCTGGGGATCAAACTCAAGGCTTGGTGGCAGGTGCCTTTAACCTGCTGAGCCATCTTGAAAGCACCACTGACCATAGTTTAATTAAGTTTATTATATACAGCTGAATTCAATCAGAAATACTAAAAATACAAAACTAAACACTTAGAACTGCCCAACTAAGTGAAATAAAAGACCAAATTATAAATTCACTCACACAAACTGTTACCATTTGCTTTATTAAAGTAAAAGTCCATTCTTTCTAGACAAATTAAATTTTGAAGTAAATTTGCACCTTTTTTAGGTCAAGAATTTTTTTAAAGGATTTTACAAATATTAAAAACAAGCACTCTACGTACTTACTGCAACATATGTAAATGATGTTTGCACACTGTTGTGACAGTGAACACACACATTGAAGAAAAAGGGACAAGGTCAGGTACACACTGTAAACCCAGCTATCAGAAGGCTGAGATAAAAGTTAAGGTTAGCCTGGGCTACACAGGGAGCCCAGTTCAAAAAAAAAAAAAAAAACTTAAATAGACAAAAAAACAGTTTAGAACATTAAAGTCCTTCAAAAAGTACTATGTAATGTTTTACACAGATTCTTAAGTCTGAAAGGATCTCAAGATGTAGTGAAGAAAAAGCAAGGGGAAAAACAATGCACAGTGCCTTCAGTTTTCTCACACACAGAGTATGCACATATAAACACCTTTATTTATATATGTATTTAGGAAGGAAATAATGAAGAAAAATAATCAAGCAAGCATTATTTCTAAGGGTAGGGTATGAAATTGAAATGGGAGCGATCACGGGGATTTCTGCTTCTTCGTATTTGAATTTTTACAGTGAAAACATATTCATAAAAAAGAAGTTAAAAATGTACACTTTAACTTCTTTTAAGTCATTTACAACCAGTAGTATTGGCTGTAATAAGATTTCATTTCCTTCTATTTTTGTTGTAGTGAAAAATGAATGACAGCAACAAATCCTTTTACCTGGCAAAGAAATGAAGGGGTTGGGGGAGGGGGCACTTTGAAGAAACAGGACTTCTTAGTTGACTCAGGAGTGATCCAGCACACTCACACAACTCATGGTACAAAGCGAAAAAAGTGGGATACTGCGCTCTCAGCACTGAAGATTGTTTTTAGAAAGCTTAACTAAGAAACAGAAAATGCCAAGTGTGTTTTCCAGGGGTGGGAACAGGCACGTGAAACCCTACACCACCTAAAAGAGGTCTACAGGACTGACAGCAGGCTGGACCTGGGAAAGCGCGGGGGTGGGGAGGGCTGTGAGCTCTCCGTGAGGTTTGGACACAGCGCCACAGTTTACAGCGAGGCAGCTAGGGGTGTGAAGTCCCGGAGGGTGGTCAACAGCGTCTCGGGCGACATCCAAACCCCTGCGGAAGCTGAAGAAGGTGAACAACCTGATCTCTTCGGCTGAGCGGGGACAGCTCCAGAGAAAAAGCAAAAGCGCCAACTTTTGATCTCAACGTGGCACCTCCGTAAGGTTCACCGAGTCTTCTCCGGAGTCCCCAGCCCACAAGCGACCCCAACACCTTCCCAGGCCAGTGCCCACTCCCCACGGCCCGGCTCCCCAAGGGAAGCCCAGCTGGAGCCGCGCGGCTGGCAGCTTGCAAAGGAGACCTGGCTGTCGGAGGTGCTGGAGCGGATCGCCGACCTGTCCCACCTGACACCCAAGCCAGCGGGGCGCCCCGGCCGGCCGAGCCACTGTCCCCACGGCCAACAGCCCCGGCGGCGCCCCCTCCCCCACCTCTGGGCGGCGACCTCAGCGCCGCCGCCGCCGCCCCGGGGCCCCCGCTCACCCAGGTAGCGGCTCCTCAGCCGGGACGGGTCTTCCAGCCCGAGGGACCTTTTCCTCACGTCCCACAACAGGTGCGGGCTGGAGCCACTCCGAGACATGGCTCTGCTGGGGGGCTGGGGTGGAAAGGGGAGACCACCGCGGGGGGTGGGGAGGGGAGAAAGAGGGAGGGGACAGGCCGATCAACACCCAAGCGGCACCAGCACCATGCGCGCGCCGGGCCTCGCTGGCGGCGCCGCGGACTCAGATGGCGGCGGCCACGGCCGCGCCTTCTCCCCCGGAGCCCAGCGGCACCCGGGCCACGGCTCGCCTCATTACTCTCCTCCAGACTACCCAGAACATCTAGAGATCAGCGGCGACAGTCCCCTCCCTCGACCCCCCTCCCGCAGGAGGCGGAGGCGGAGGCGGGGGCGGCCGCGAGCCCCGCCCTCTCCCTCCAGGGCCACGCCCCCTCCCAGGCCTTCTCGCGAGATGACGCCCACGGGCGACAGAAGCCGGCGTGCGTCACGCTTGCCCTCACCCTAGGTGAGTCGACTTAAGCCGCTCTAGCCCGCGCCTTGATTGTCTATGGATAGAAGCGGAATGACGGAAGCCGCCGAAGCTGGTCGTCTCGCTCACGCCTCTCTGTGGTTCGAGGGAAGAAGCCGGGCGTGATGACTCACGCCTGTCGTCCCAGCATTCGGGAGGCTGAGGCTGGGCGATGGCGAGATCCAGGCCAGCCTGGATGACACTGTGAGACACCGTCTCCAAAAAAAAAAAAAAAAAAAAAAGCAAATAAAAGGAAGCCCGACAGGTATGCGGCGTCATCTTTAGTTGGGGCGAGGAGAGCCCAGAAAGCTTATTTTAACCACAGCCTTCATAGTGAAAAGTGAGGGGCGGAACAGACTCGCGGCTTCAGTTTCCCCTCTCCAATATGTCCTCTAGAACCGGAAGGAGGTGGGCGTTGGTCCCGCCCCTTCCGCTCTGCGCGGCCGGCCAATTAGGGCGGGCCGCTCCGCTTGCGCAAGCGCCTCGCCCTCCCCGCGCGCGCAGCCGGGGCACGGCGACCTCTTGAGCACCTGTTGCCATGACTCCTCCTCCGTCTCCCCCGCCCTCTGGCAGGAGGCGGGCTGGGGCGGGCTTTCGCTGAGGCTCCGCCCTCCCAGCCTTCGCCGGACCAGGCCTCTAGGAGCTTCACCCGGAGCTGGCAGAGCCGGGGGAAGGGCGCCTTAGGGCAGAGGCGGACCCTTCGCGCGGTGGAGAGAAAGTGACGGGGCCGCCCTTCGTTGTCAGCCAGGAACGAGGACACAGCGGCGCTCCCACCGAGCTGCTGTCGATCCCGACGCCGCCGAGATGGCAGCTGCCGGCGCCCGAGGCCTGCGGGCCACCTACCACCGACTCATGGATAAAGTGGAGATGTTGCTGCCAGAGAAATTGAGGCCGCTATACAACCACCCGGCAGGTAATGAATCCTGGACGGCTCGCACCGAGGTCGCCCCTCTCCTGCCAAAAGTGGGACTTTAGGGGCCCAGTGACAGTTTAGTTACTGCAGGAATCTCAGAGCCCCAGGCTCGTCACCTGAAGGGAACCCATCAATTCTCCCTAATCCTTCACTTTATCTCATTTTGCGCCTCTTCCCAAAGCCGAGTGTCTCCACCCGGTGCCGCTGTTGACTTGGGTTGCCTTCGGCCTTTTAAGCGCTGCTCAAACCCCCGACCTGGCCCTCTAGACTTGAACTTGAACTTCTGGGGTCTTGGGCCACTATGTAACAGTCATTCGACTCCCGTTTTCCCTCCGTGGATTTTTAACGCACGTGAGAAAGCTGAATAGGTGTCTGATCTCAGCAGAGGGTTTGGAGTAAAGGTCATACTTCAGCTCCTGTTGCAAAGGCCTGCTGAGGGAGCCTTTCCCAAAATTGGACTGTCCCCCACTCCCCTTCCCGGTCAATGTCACTCCTAGCTCCAGAGATCCAGTATGAACCAGTCATTACGCAATCACTGACCAGGTTCTATCCGAGCCTTTTTTATGTGGGCAGATAGGTATATAATTCTGCTCCACCTCTTACTAAGGTGTGACCTTGGGCAGAATCCTACACCTTTGTCCTAGTCCTAATTCTTGTAAAATATATTCAGTGTGAAAATCAAAAATAACAAACACGCTTGATTCTTTGGGGACGTTAGCTGTCACTTGTGCTGGATAAGTATTCTTGTAGTTGAAAATAACAATTCTTTAAGAAACTGGAAGACCCCGGTCCCTCTAGGTATTTATTATCATTCTACAGTTAGGTTATTTCTAATACAAAATGGGAATTGATAATACTTGTTTGGTTGGGGACTAAAGTTTGATTATATTATGAAGTCTTTCAAGCATAAGATTACGAACAGGAAAATTTATTCTCAGTAGAAAAAACTGAGTTACTAACATTTTTGGGTGGGTTTTGCCTTGACCTAGGTAAATCCGTATTCTGCAGTTGGTACTAGAAAGGCTTGGTGCTGCCAAGAGCTGAAGCAGCTCTCTGGGGTTTGGGCTGGTTGCTAAATCTGGTGTTCAGTTTGATAAAAGGATGGTGTGTACTTCTGCATAGACTTTAGCTTCACACTCAATAGCATTACTGCGATATAAAAACCCTTATAAAGCTTGTTTTTTGAGTTGCAGTATTATTTATTTTTATTAAGGAATTTTTTTATTCATTTTTCATACCAACCACAGATCCCCCTCTCTTCCCTCCTCCCGAACCTCCAACCTCCCCCCACCAAAAAAAGCTTATTTTTAAGGAACTTTATTGATGAAGTTTGTGGAGTTGCCTTTTAGTTTTTACATTTTTTTATTTGCTATGTTTTATGGCAGAGATTTTTCAGGAGATGAGAGTTGGATAGTTTGTGTAACGATCATGGTGTCACAAAGAAACTGAGTTCTGAGCCGGGCGGTGCTGGCGCACGCCTTTAATCCCAGCACTCGGAGGCAGAGCCAGGCGGATCTCTGTGAGTTCGAGGCCAGCCTGGGCTACCAAGTGAGTTCCAGGAAAGGCGCAAAGCTACACAGAGAAACCCTGTCTCGAAAAACCAAAAAAAAAAAAAAAAAAAAAAAGAAAAGAAAAAAAAGAAATTGAGTTCTGTGACAATTCTTCCTCTCCAGCTTTGTGTTTAGGGCACGGCATGAGAACAGTGATGAGCAGAAGTTTTAAAGTACCTAAACTAACAAGGAATTGGAAGGGAGTCCTTTGTTGATCTTTTCCAAGACCCTGGCTTTTAGCCACCTGTACTTACTGTTTATAATACTTCAACTGCAGAATGAAGAGTACTTTGTGCATTTCACCCGGAAGTCTGGGTTTCTTCTGTTTTAAGTGTAATACAGGGAACGCAAACTTAGAAGACAGTCAGAGGTGCTCTGAGTCTTGACTATATGACCTTGGCCTTAAAGAATTCCCCAAATCTTAGATATCTTAAAATTAAGAATCCTTGTGAAAGTTAAATGATATAATATCTGTAAGACATGTAGCAAAGTATTTGTTTTTCAAATCAGAACAAATGTTCTTCCAAATAAAGGGTTTGGGCAGTTGTTGTCATTGTTTGTTTGTTTTTGTGACAAGGTCCCGCCTAGTTCAGGTTGCCCTTGAACTTGCTGTGTAGCCATAGTCTTATTTTTTTTAAACTAGAGCTCCAGGTTTGGTGGCACACTCCTTTAATCTTAGCACACCAGGAGGCAGAGACGGTCAGATCTCTGTGACTTTAGTTCCAGGACAGCCAGGACTGTGACACAGGGAAAAAATAAAAAATAAAAAAAAATTAAAAAAAAAAAAACAAACCTGGTCTTGAAAAAGAAGAAGAAGGGAAAAAAAGACTAGATCTTACTACCTTCTCCTGGCTATTCTAAAACTCACCAGAATTCTTCCTGCCTCTGCTTCCCAAATGCTGGGATTAAAGGTATGTTCCACTGGGACCAGACACCTTACCAGAAAGTGTAAGTCTTTCACTGAACCTGGAGCTCATCAGTTCACCCAGGATGGCTTGTCAGTGAGCTCCAGGAATCTGCTTGTCTCCACCATCTAGCTCTACACCCAGTGCTAAGGTTACAGACATGTTCAGTGTTCCTTATTTATGTGGTACTGGGAATGGAACCCAACTACAGCTCTAGCAATTAAATTTTTTGAATAATACATAAATATGCCTATCACTAAAAACTTATTTGTGATTGAAAAGTTGTAAGCACAGCAATATAGAAATGAACAAGCATGAAAAATATGAAACACTAGTTGGCTCACTAGTGTTAAACAGAGTTAGTTCCAGGACAGCCAGAGCTACACTGAGAACTCCTGTCTCGAAAAACCAAAGGGGGGGGGGGGAGATCTAAGAAAACACTGATTATTGTTCTACTTATTACCCAGAATGAAAATAATCCCTTTGAATACCACTGTACATTAGTATTTGTAATTGAATCACCTTCTAAGCATTAGACTACATTCATATACAAGAGTTCTTTCTTTTTAAAAAGTTATGACGCCGGGCGGTGGTGGCACACGCCTTTAATCCCAGCACTCGGGAGGCAGAGCCAGGTGGATCTCTGTGAGTTCAAGGCCAGCCCGGTCTACAGAGTGAGTTCCAGGAAAGGTGCAAAGCTACACAGAGAAACCCTGTCTCGAAAAACCAAAATAAATAAATAAATAAATAAAAAATAAAACGTTATGGAAGGTTAGAATATTAACAGTTGGAAAATATATATTGCTTGTTATACATTTTTAGATTTATTTTTGTCCCTGACAACTATTTCTAGAGAGGCAACAAGAACATATTTTATATAGATATATATTATAGAATGCTGTGTGGCCCAGAAATTTGAGGCCTTTGTCATCTGTCTGCTTATATACATCATGTGCTATGACACAGAATGATCTGTCTCTGTAGAAAAATAGCAGAATATGACTAAATGTGATTCCTAGACAAGTTCCTCAACTCACATAAGGGGGATATCACTTAGTCCACCGTCTAGCTAGCTGTATATAAAGCACACTGCTCCAAACCAGTCAGTTGTATAACTGTGCTCTAGGCACTTGTCAGGGCATAACTTTGAAGTTATGTTTCACAATGTTTACTTAACAGCTTAGTTGTTGATGTGGTTTGAATGTCCTTCAACTCCTTCTATATTGAGATTGAATCCTCATTGTGAGGCATTAAGTAACTGGAAATTTACTGGAGGTGGAACGTTTGGGGAGTAATTAGAATGAGATAAATTCCTTAGGGTGAAGGGCCTGTGATTGAGTCCTAGTAACTTTGGGACAGAGACCATACACATACCTGACACAGCCTTTTCCTCTCTTGCTGAGTAGAATGCTCTGCCTTCCTCAGGACTCTGTCAGCAAAAGGCCATCACTAAAAGGCCTTAGACCTGACATCATTATAATTATGAGCCAAAAGAAAGTTCTTTTTTTTTTAAGACTTAGTCACTTTTTATGTGTGTGTCTGTGTGCCACGTGTATGCCTGGTGCCCAAGTAGGTCAGAAGAGGTCATTGGATTTGCCTCCCTGGACTGGGAACCAAATCCCATCCTCTCTGAAAGCAACAAGTACCTTTAACCACTGAGCCATCTCCCCAACCCCAGAAAGTTATTATCAAGTACTAGCCTTAGGAATTTCATTGTAATAATGGAACATGGATGAATTCAGCTGGGGACAAAAACATTACTAATTTAAAAAGCATACTTGTTTAAAATTTATGCACCAAGAGGTACATAAAATGAAACACCAGTATTAATAATCATGTTCTTAATGTTAAGTCAGAACCAGTTTTAGCACAGATGAAAATGGTTTTGTCAACCAGTAATGGTGTCAGATGTGTGTGGGTCGTTGGCCACGCGGTATCAAGCAGGTGGACTTGCATAGTATATGGAACTAAGAGGGGTGTTGAAAAGTAAAAGACGTGCAGTTAATCAGTGCATACTAAA